TGTTTAGGCTGTTCTGTTACAAACAAATACAATATAACGCTCACGCGTAAAACGTAATCGAGTACAATTGGATTGTGTATGAATATATAACTTTTTGTGTTTAATTACCAAATCAACCAACTCCTGTGTACAAGGAATACAATTTTTTCAAGTCAAGAGCGCGCGACTGAATGATATTCCGTATTTACTCGAGACAAATTGTGCAGATAGGTACACAGTTATTATAGAATATAAAAATTTGGTTCTTTAATGTGCATAGAAGAACACGTCTTCGACCGCTAAAAAATTATATATATTATTAATCAGTATTAACACCCAAGTAGATATGGCAGCCAAACGGGCAGAGAGAGTAAACGGTTAGAGCCTCTGCTCTCAGAGAAAAACGATCGAGAAGTCAGTCGATGCCGAAATCTCGTAGGCTACGCACGCATAGGTTACTCATCAAAGTTTCACATTAAATTTAATTTACAGTGCATTTAGCATTATTAACTATATCTTAAATTATACAAATAATATAAATAAGCTGTAAAATAATAATACAACGTCGTCTCAGAGTTATTTTAATAACTAAATACTGGAGACCACACATTGCTTATCTAAACTTTGCATTTAAATGATTCGCCATACTCTCCTCATCGGAGTTCTATATCTAGGAAGAATATGTTTTACATATCAAATTGCTCTGTTTTTTCAGATATTTTCAACAAGCTCAGCAGTTACGAGATTCACCCTTACCCTTTCGTAACTAGAAACCCGACTCAAATCAGAATATTATATTAAATGGCTTTTATATTATTGGCATATTTGGCAGAATCACCAATCACCATTTATTTTACCTTTGAAATTTGTAGTCAATTTTTGTTAAAAAAAATTAATGCTAAAATGCTAAAAACTATAAGCTTTTCAACGATGTACTAAGAAAACAAAATCAACCCAATTAGTTTTTTAAAGAAAGTAAAGCAGTGCATGTAATTTTATGTTCTTGCTTGTTGTTTGGTATTTTGGTAAGTACTTATGTATTTCTAAACAAGTATTTCGATAGATAGTTGTTCAAATTAAGTTGAATGTGAATTGCAGATCATAACACTTTGGCGACATTGGGTGACTGCATGAAACAAGGGGCGCGACTTAAGCTATGAGTTTGGTTTTAATAGAATTTTATGAGCTTAAGTAAAGTCGTGTCCCACGCAGCTTACACGCACTACACACGCACACACACACACACACACACACACACACACACACACACACACACACACACACACACACACACACACACACACACACACACACACACTCATTCACATGTATACACATAAGATACACATAAGATACACAGGGAGAAGACTTTTTGACTTACGCAACAGCAAAAAGCTTTCAAAAAGGCTAAGACCGCCCATCGGAGCTGGTGGACTGCAGGACGAGTGCGAGTGCGTAAAATGGGAGTTAATCGTGACCACGTAGCAGGACTATTAATAAAAACGTCTTTAGCCTCTACATTTTGTGGACATCTTGGGCTACGCCGCTGTTGCAACCCAGAACCCAACAGAAAAAAAATAAGAAAACCATGAAGACAAACACAAGAACAAACACAAAACCAAGAAAAGCGGCGCATCATTAATTTTACGCAGTACAACTGTCGAGCCTCAAAGACACACACACACACACGCACACATACACACATGTGAGTTGTGTGTGTTGCAGAAAAATGGCAAAAGGCAAACTTAATAACAACAAAATGGCTTTTGCGGCTGCCTGGGCCAACTCACATTGCCTTAGGCAACAATTTTGTAATTTATCATTGCACAAATACACACAGACCGCCTAGACAAATACACACACACACACGCCTGCATTTGTGTGTGTGTTTGTGTGTATGCAGTTGTTGTTGATTTGTTTGTTCTTCACAAATGAACTTTACAGCTAAAAGCTACCCGAATTGACCTTACTATTTAACCTGACCCTGGGACTTGAAACTAATAGTGTGTGCGATTTTGAAACGGATAGATGTATTAGGTATAATTTTTTTTTTTTATATATATTAGTACAGTTTACATTACAAGCTATAATTTAAAATTATTATTTATTTCAGACCTTTATTGACGATAAAAACAATTATATTTTTTTATTTCTATTTAAAAAATTTCGAATTTACATTGTGCAAATATGTACATTTTCATACCAATTTTACATTTTACGCATTGGTTACTCTATATAAATAATGTATTTTATCTAGTAGGAGTTAATTTTAATGTGTATTAATGAATTTTAAAGTCAACCGGCCCTATGCAAGCCTCCTGGCTCACATGTGGGTTAACTGACTGCCTAAATACACACTTGGAAGCCCCAAAAACCCTTACAATATTTGTAACAAAATCGCCTGCAGCGTGGCAGAAGCAGATACAAAGACCCGCAACAAAATACAAACAAAAAATTGCTTTGAAATTAAATAAATAACTGACTGAAATGGCTTGGCGGGACGCTGCTGGCAGGGTGGTGGGGGTTGGCGGTAGGTTAGCCAAGAGCGACACGTCAAAGTCAATGCGTTCACACTCATGGCAACGCCCCACTCGAGCTCAGCTGCCCCCTCTGGCACTCGCCCTCTTCTCCTTTCAAACCCATTGAAAGAGAATCCCATTCTAATTGACGTGTCTTTGGTCAAATGTAGCAATTTTCGGCTTGGTATATATTTTTTGACTATCATGACTAACATGCGACAGCAGCGCACGAGTGCACTCCGAATGGGTGTGTGTGTACGTGTGTGTGCGCGCGATTAAGTGCTGTATGTGTGTGTGTGCGAGTTTACGGGCCAAACTTTCTTTCGCACGTGCTTTGTTGCTCTCGAACGAGCAGTTGGCCAAGTTGGTAAAGTTGGTCCGAATCACTCTTTGCCTGCGCTTGCTCTTGCCTCAGCTGATTTTCCCCTTTTTTTAACTGTTCGCCGCATTTCCTGACTTGTGGTCTGCTCATTTCCTCACTGTTTATTTTTTATTTATGCAACATTTTATTTTATGCTTTTGATTTCCGCAGCGCTGCGACGCGTTTTCTAATTAGCTGCGCGGGAAAATCGCTGCTGCTTATAATTGGCCACGTAAGACGCGTTAAGTCGCTTAACAGATGCTTAACACAGCTCGGCCAGCTGTCCTCACATAGGCTTATGAAAAACAGCTTAGGCTGACCCGAAAATCGTCTTCGTTCTGCCATTTGCATATTGTTTTGTGCTTGCTGAACTTTAACACAAAATGTGTTGCATACTTTGCAGCTTTATGCAAATGCCATTATCAACGACCAGAACGACACGTCCAGGACCATGAGCAGGATGAGAGCACACGACACTTTTAACCACAAATAGAAATAAACATGACATTCCTCGAACAGTTTTTTTTAACTCAGCTCAGCGCAGCGCTTCTTTCGATGGAGATGGAGTTGAAGAGGGCGCAGCAGCAGGGGAAGGCTTCTTTTTGGAGCACGCATATGACGCGCTGACACTAAGAACAACAAGGACAACAAGCATGCAAGGCATGTCCCTTAGAAAATATGAAAATGTAAAACAAAAATCTGGCAAAAACTTTTCTAATTTAAAACTGCCAAACCAAAAAAAAATAAGAGGAAGTAAAAATAAAATAACGACAGGAAAGCGCAGCAAAGGGCGAACAAAACGAATGAAACGAGTCAGCTTGAAAGACTACAAGCAAATCTTTATAACATTTACCATACCATACTTACCATACTCTTCATAAGGTATATTGAAAATCAAAATGGCAATATACGTGTAAATCTCAAGCGCAGAGAAAGGGTCCTTTTTCAGTATTTACATGAATATTTCCAAAATTAGGTTAAATAATTAATAGCTTCTTTTGTGTATATGGAAACACAATGCATGTACCTGAAAATATAGATATAAATTATGATAAACATATATTTAACTAATGATATGAAAATTTTATAATTAAGCGCCGCCCATAGATAAGTATAGTTTATTTACTAAACCGTTTTAATTGACAAAAATGATATTTGATTATGATTTTTCAGACTTTTGTATGAAAAGGGTATTTTGAGCTTCACATTACTTAGTATGTGGTTTGGTTCAAAGTGTAGTTGACATCTCGAAGAGTATGCAGCGAAGACAACTCGCAAATGATGTCTGTTGACAGAGGAGAAGTGAAAGTCTTTTGTTTTTGCTTGCCTATGGATGGGGTGGCTCAGTGCACATGTTGATGAATGCGAGGCCAAAGAGATTTCAACTTTCTAATTTAATGCGGCAGTCAGACGGATAACTTCAATGACAAAGACAAAGGCGAATGCCAAATGGCGAATGGCGGACGACAAACGGAGCCAGAGTTGAACGTGCCAGCTCACAGCCATATAAGTTATATTGCAGGAAAAAATATTTAGGCAAGCAACGTGGCGTATGCGCAATGTCTGCTTGTCATCCAATCCGTGCAACTTTTACCGTATTGTTGCCAGAATGTTGTATACTCAGAACATTATATTTGTATGATGAAAGAGTGAGTAAGTTTTAAATTGAAAATTAAAAGACAAACGCATAGAAAACGAAACAAACAATATCATATGCGTATGTGTGCAACGGGGCATATGTGTGATAATTGTTTATTGAAGCAGCAACATACTAAATAAAGGAAGAAAGAATGTAATGAACATGTTGAACTTCCAGCTCAATTTATTTTTAATTTAACCATATGTTAACAACCAACTCATCCATCAACTAATTTCACGGGCCACACAATGGATTAATTGGTCAATTCAAATAACCAAATATTCAAACTATTGTTTTGTTTTCTGCATAAACGGGCCGTCATCATAATTATTATTGAAACACGTGTTTATTCGTTGTTTGTGTTAATAAATTATTTTTTATTATTATTATAGATTAATAATATTGCTGAAATATTTGTAAGCCGACATGATTGCTTGGGTAGATTTCAAAAGCTACGTTTAAAAATTGCAATATTATGGATTCCATTTGTAAATTGGCTACATAATTGTTAACTTTTTCGAGGTCTCTTTTCTCTTGAAGACCTTTCCGCATCTAATTAACTACCTGCCTGACAATGTCCGGCGGCAGCATGAAATTGCTTTTACGCAATGGAATCTCACTGTACAGCCTGTCGACGGGTGAGCGGGTGTCATAAAGTGAGGGCGACTGGCAGATGATGGCGCAAGTACCGAACACACACGACAGCGTAAACAACCAGAGGAAGAAGCGATCCAGGACCATGGACACAAATTTCCAATCTTCGACAATCTGTGAAAAAGAAATAACAAAGTCATTTAGGTAATGGCAAACTCGCAAAACTAGGCCAGGAGTATAGCTGTGCCACTTCATGAACCTTAAGAATTTTTTAATAATTTTTGATTATTTCAGATCTCGTAAAACATAGACATGCTGGAGGTTAGGGACGAGAAATTGTCATATAGTGCTGCCAAATAAATTGATTTCAATTGAAGCCATAAAATTTCGTTTGCGTCTATCTTTCAATAAACTTGAAGTGTAATAAAAATATAAAGTTATGATTTAATATTTTACAATTCCATGTTGCACATTTGAAACTCATGCCTCTTATGCCCGCTCTCTCTCTTTCACTCACTCCATCTGTGAGCGTGGTGCTCAAGCTGAATTTCGGGCAATAAACAATAATGGAAACGAAAGAAAATCGCTTGTAAATGTGCACGGCAGAGCCCAGAATTCTGCCAGACGCCAAAAATATGACAGGCTTAACAATAACAACAATAACAGCCATAATAATTCGAATACGAATACGAATTCAGCACTCAGCTTCAATCTGTGGTCCTCGGTGGTTCTCAATAAAAGTGGGCAGCAAAAGGTTGGGACTCCGCCGAGCCTGCAGTGTTCAGTGTAGCCCATATTACAAACCCATAGCACTACCCGTACCCAGTACCCACCTCGTTATCCTTGTCGGCATCCTTGATATGCTGCGCAATAAATCTGACCGCACGCAATGCCTGCAGCACTTCGGGTGTTAAGTTGCGCGGTATCACATTGTCAGAATCTGTCAAGTCTCGTGGCGAGCACATGAAATTGCAAAAATTGAAATAAAATATTGGAATAATAAATAAATGGAGATGCCAGTGCGCCCCTCGGGCAAATAGCAACTCTAAATCTACAATTGAATGTGTGCGTATGTGTGTGTGTATGCGTGCGTGTGTTTGTGTATGTAAGCGTGTGTCACATATGCATAGAAAAATATTATGGCCTAAGCGAAAAAAAGCCCCACAGGCTACAGCAACATTCGCAGCTTCAAGTTCCAAGCCCGCTGCTCAGCAACATCCGCAATAACAACACCAACAACACACACACACATACAAACATACACACATAAACACACACAATAACTGTACTAAATTATGACCGCCAGTTTTTATTTATGAGTAACCTTATCATGGTTGGGCATGTTGGGCACCTAAGTGAAGCTTGTAACATTTATTGGCCAAAGCAATCAATTGAATGTCCGAGTTTGCATACCAATTGAATATAATTTTCTATATATTAATGTGTCAGAAGTCGCAAAGAAAGATTTCCATCGGTTGATCTTTAAATAGATGCATTTTCCTAAAGCCAACATTTCTTTATGTAAATTTCTCCTACCTCCAATTTGTTGCATCGAAAAGTTTCGATTTTACAAAATTGATATTTGATATTTACAAAATTGAACTCTAAATCATATTTTATTTATCTAAAACGAAGTTCATGAGCAGCCAGATATTACTTAAAAGGGTGTTATTTATTGTAGGATGAGAAATGAAAATCATAGATTTATTACAAATTGAACATGCAAACTTGAAAAAAATATATATACATATGTAGAAGGTCATACAAATATTTGTATAAAACAAATTTAGAGTAGTTATATACAATTTCAGATCCTGGAAACTAAAGCATTTTGGATTTCAATTACGCCCAGGGGTGGCACCAAGATCTCCTTATCTCATTCTTTTGAGCTCTCAGAAAATTGGAAGGAAGTACCAATTGAGGTCAAACTGACTCAAGAACACACTGCAGCGTTAACCTTACCTATCCTAGAAGTTTGATTAATCGACTTTTCAGAAAAATCAAATTAACTGAATTGCGTTTTATCATTATTATTATTATTATTAATAATTTTATTATTATTATTATTATTTTTTAAATTTTTAGTATTATATTATTAGTATTATACTTTTTATAATTATTATAATTTTTATTATTATTATTATTATTATCATTATATTTATTATTATTTTAGCATTATAAATGTCAACAATTAATGAAATATTGTTATAATACATTTTATCACAAATAGTTTTAGTAAGCTTTTTAGTTAAAATACCAATAGTTAATATAACTCGACATCAAAGTTGGTTATTTTTTATAAATAATATATAAAAATCCGAAAAATAAAAATAAATTTATATTACTGCTAATAATAGTTTTTTTCAGTTTTTAGAGTTAATTCATAAGATAAGAGAACCTTTCTAAAAAGCTTATACATATATATAAAGCTTACACTTTGTACTCTGCACTTAGGTAATGCAAAGTTCGTTCTATTCACTTGGGAAGTTTTTACGCATGGGCTGTTTTATTATCCACAATCGCAAACACACACATGCGCACACACATAAGCCCTCATACACACAGACACACACTCACACTCCTATATGGAACCACATAGGCGTTATTTGTCATCAAAGCGTCACATCATCGTCACAACCATCAAAATTGTCCGAAGCTATCAGAATTGAGAATGCCCAACAGCATATTCGTTGCCGTTTTATTGCATTATTTGGTTATTTTTATTTCATTTCAATTTCGGCTTTCGGTTCGCGGTTAGCCGCGAGTGTTACAAAATATTTGTGGTTTTAAGGACCGACAATCCCCCCACTCATACTGAAACCCAAGTTCAAACTCACCCACTGAGTGCTGCATGCCATTATCGTAAGCGCCGTCCTGGCTGTCTTTAAACTCGCTGGGAAAGTCGCTGATGCTGTCGCTGAAATAAAAAGCACCCACAAACAAAAGCATAGACGCACATATAGGCAATGGTAACGTTAGTTCAGTGAGAGGGGAACTCACGATATGGGAAGGTGAAATACTTACCGTACATCGATCTCGTTGGTATAGCCATTGCTGGGCGTCGAATCGTCGTAGTCGGGCAGAGTGTACTGAGTGCGTCGCATCATCATCAGCTTGGGCATGAAGTGCAGGAACAATTTGCGAACTAGCGGCGACATATTGTGGGTCGATGGGGACCTGTTAGTGGGCAGGTCGATTGATTAACTAATTATGAACAAGAAAGATTGGCTATCTTCGGCATGCCAAAAATTAAAAGCCCTTGTCGACTTATGACTTAGAAGTGCCCTTTGTTCCTTTATTTTATGGAAGCCGGATTAGCTTCGGTTTTGGGGATATGTTAGGAGAAAGCTTGTAATTGTTAAGTTTGGCTCGGCTATCTTGTAAAACAGAAAACTTATCTATACTAAAACTCATTTTTGAAACCGAAAGACAGACAGACTGACATAACTATCTATATAAGCTATTCTGTTATTACCGATTAAGAAATTAAGGACATGAGGTGTCAGAGATGTCACCTTCTACGTGTTCCAGATTTTGTGACAAAATTATAATACCCTCTACAAGGGAGTAAAAAGTCAGAGGCACTAGCACAGTGAGTAGATTAGCTGATAATCATCAGAGTCACAGCACTCACCTGAAGTGTATGTTGAGCACGCAGACCGTTGTCCAAACGGACAGAGAGACGAGTATCATGGTAAAGAGTAGGTACTTGCCCAGCAGGGGCACCGCCAACGATGTGGGCGGTATTATTTCGGCCAATAGCAAGAAGAACACAGTCAAAGACACGAGTATTGAAATACATAACGTAACCTGTCAACGAAATATTTACACAGTTTCTCTCTCTCTTTCTCTCTTGCTCTCGCTGGCTCAAAGTGCCTATAGGCAAAGCCTTTTGTTTTGTTTCAATAACAACCACAACAATGACAAGAACACAGCATAAACAAAATAATAACATGGACGAACGATTTACCAATCATTTTTAATTATAGCCAATTACATATCAATTACGTATACGCCACGTGAAACAATAAACCGACTTCAACAATTGATTTTTCATAATTTATTCAATTTAAATTCGCTTAGTAAAGAATATTAAAATTAATATAAATAATAATAAGTTACATAAAACTTGCTCAAAGGCATCGCAAATCGTAAAATCAGGCAAAACACTCAAACAATTTCTTTACTCACACCAACAATCTCGTCGACACATTCAAAGTCTCCACTTCCCAACAATTGAACCATATACAAAACAACAACAAAATCAACACAACAAGCAACAAAGCGTACTACATATTTGTATGCCTTTGTACTGTAATTTAATGTTAAATGCTATATCTTTTGAAGAAACCTAAGCAAACGGTTTTAAATTAATGCATCCCAATTACGTTACATTTTATTTATTCCAAATAGCCTAACCCAACAATTCTGACTCTTTTTTTATTTGACATAGAGTTTCTGCTGTGATAACTCTGTGTAGGTCTTCAAATATTTTCTAGCACCCAATATTATCAACAAACTAGAAATAAATTGGACAAATTGTAAATTTAATTTTTTAAATGAATAAAAGCCAATGGTACTATAAAATATTTGAACTTTTGAAATAATAAATTAATAATACTTTTACTAAGACTTGAATTTTAATTTTCAGAAAACTTTTAAACAAAACTTGCTCCTATTCCGTTTTTTCACAACCAAAACATTTTATTCCTATTGCTAATCATTTACATGTCATTTGTAATTTTCGTAAATAATATCTATAACGTTTTGCTAATTTAATACTCCAAGCAAATGAGTGATTCAAACGAGCCAATAAACAAAAATAACAACAACAGCAAACATCGCGTTTTATTGTATGGGTGTGTTGTTTGATTGTGTGTCTGTGGGTGTGTGGTGCGTAGTTGTGTAATGTAGGTGCGTGTAATTAAGTGCCTTTATATGTAGGTCTATGTGTGAACAAAGTGTGTAATTGCGGGACACTCGATATGAGAAAATTCAATTTGATTTCGATTCGAACTCGGTTTGTATGCATTCGATGAAATTTACGTTATGAGATTTCAATACTCAGAACAGCACAAATGATATTCGACCAAAATTTGAATATGAATCCTTTATGGAAAAATATGACGTGAATATATGTGTGCTGCATGATTGAAAGCAATTGTTCTGCTTGTAATGCCACGAATCAAAATGCACCTGAAACTCTGTGATCTGAAGACAAATGTATATTGCAATTACTTTAATTTATGATATTCGATAATAAAGAAGAATAAAATGGAGAGCGATAGGAAAGTAGTAGACAATTATTGTGGAAAGTAAGTTGAGCTCTTATGGTAGGTCGTTAACAATTTCAACTCAGAGCGTTTCTACCAACATTCGATTTAAGCCAATTTTCATTAGCAAACTAACTAAAGAGCTCAGCTTTATAAGAGTTACTCGTAGCTTGAATAGGAGTTGACTAAATGATAGAATCTCTAAAGTGCATGAGGGAAAAGAATTTATAGAAACTTATTGATATATTCAGAGTGATTTTTTAGTGTTCTTAGTAAGTTGTATGTAGGTAAAAGAATAAATTTACAATATGTAATACAAATGCAAAATATTAATAGTCATCTACATATATTTTAAAAATAGGCAGATACCTTTGCTGATGAAACATCTACACCTATTCAAAAATAATTCCATCTACATACTTGGGTATAACAACATGCCACATGCAAAAGTTTGAACCCCGCACATTGTCAAAAGTCCAAGCATGTCTTTTGCAGGTTCCTTTTTTGCATTCTTACCTTCTCGCCCGAATCGCTGGGCAGATAAAAGACCAAAACGGTGAGAAACGTTAATGCCACGCAGGGCACAATCAAATTCACCGTATAAAACAACGTTTTACGCCGCATGGTCAACTTGAAGGTAATATCTGCAACAGACATCAAATTTACATATTACAAGCCGACCCACAAAAACTGTGCAGCAGTTCACCTGAAAATGGCTCCAATGTGTCCGGATAGTATTCCTCGTTTTTAGTAGCCGGCACTTCGAGTACATCCCACTCGACAGACAAATAGAATTCACTTAAATCGATGCCCACCTGCACAAGATTGCTGCCAGGCACCTGTGTAAGGAACACAAACGTACAAGCGAGTATTAGTCGAGCGACCGAACCAGTCTAGGCAATTTGTTTGGAGATGTGATACCCCTACCCAATCCCCACCGTATGTGTCTGCATAAATTGCATTCTGTGCATTGAAGCGCAAAGCAAATTTGCATCCATCCGGTTGCAGCTTAATCGAAATGCGGTTTGGCTTTTACCTGATCCAAATGTTTTAGATCCACTTGGGCGCCATTATAGGTCCATGAGCCGAATTTCATGAAACAAATTTGTTCATCGTATGGAAAATATTCGACGTTCATTTCACAGGATGACTTGTAAATCGCTGGTGGCTCCCAAAACACCTCCCCCGTATATTTCAGAGTGGCCTTTGTCATGAGTGTGACCTGAAGAGCACAAAGAGATAGATTAAGATGGGATTTCACATAGGTCAAATCGACACGTACCTCATAGTTACCATCCCAGTTATTGTAGAGCACAATGTCGGGCACCCAAATGTGCTCGGAGGGCACATACAACTGCTCCACGCCGCCGTACTCCTCCGGATCCCAGCGCAGCTTATAGTCAAACCAGCGCTAAAAGTAACATATTATAAGCGGCAAATTTTTATTGACTCGCCTGAATGTTTGCCCACCTGCTTGACCCACAAATTGGTGGTCATCACCTGATTCTTTAGATTGACCTCAATCAGCTGGGACAGCTTCAGGCCCAGCCAAACTGTGAGGGTCTCCGTATTGTTCACAACGGGCCGTATCAAGCGATTATAATTACTCAATAAATCATCATAAAGGCGTTTCGTGTCCGGATTTGCCTCAAAGCTAACTGGCGCTATTTAGGCAAAAAAAAAAACCGACCAAACAAATAGATACTCTATCAGAAAAATATCCCAAACATAGTAAAAATATTTCCCACAACAAAACACTGCGCAGTCGCCGCTCTCGCGCCTCTCACGCTTTCTCACGCACTCTCAGAGGGTGCAACCTTTTAACAGCTGGGCAACTTTTGAGATACAGCATCCCAATCATCAGGAGTATCGAAATTTCCACAGATTTTTCAATCCATGCCTAAACTAACTTACGTGTCGTATTTGCCAAGGGCAGCAGCAGGAAATACCCCAACCAAAGCCAGCGACTCATTTTTTCCTCAAGATTTGTTATGCAATGCTCCACAAATTTGTTCACTTAATATTTATTACTTTTAAACAAAAAATTGCATTTTGTGTTCCGTCTAGTATTTGTAGCAAACCTTACGCGTCCAGCTTCCATTCGTAACTGAGCGAAAATCTCTCGAATACTCTTGCCGCAACCAAGTTGAGTGAGCGGAATAGGCGCCAAATATAATTTAAACATGAAATCAACGAACACGAAACAATTATCTCCGAAGTTCAAACTATGTGTGTCATAAAAATTAGAAATAAATATTAAATCAGAATCACATAATTGGTTTATGATTGGGGAAATTTATTTTCTATTTGAAGTTAAATAATGTTCATATTAAATATATAATAGTTGTATCAAAATTCAGAAGCTACTTACTTATGCTTAAACCACTTTTTAAAATATGGCTATCATTTATTTAGATTTAGACATACGTTCTGAAAATTACAAGTTTTACTACACTTTCCTTAAGCTAAAGTATCAAAATCTGTTGGTAAGATCCATCATATTACATTTTAAAGAAAGAGACAATCCTTTTCCGATTCAACTTCACTTACGGACACAGTTTTTAAGTCAATATTCCAGTTTAAGGGCAATACCACTACACTCCTTTTCACAGAAAGCTAATTTCACTTACACAGTTTGAGGATCACTGTTAGTTAGCTCCTTGCCCATTTTCCGATCGATCTAACTTTACTTACAGTAACAGTCTTAAGCCAATCTTACAGTCTTAAAGATACTAATATAATACCCAGCAGGACTCCTTTCCACCTATTTCCAGCTGTTAGAGCCAAGCATTCTTTAACCAACACACAATTTTAACGACTCCATTACAATTTTAAATGAACTGCTTCACGTAGTCTTTTTTCCAGCTATTTTCAGTTAATAGAGCCAAAATTAGTACGACCAAGCCAAATCCGCTTAGAAGCACAGTCAACGTTCTAAAGGCACAAAGTGCAATGTAATTTAAGCATATCAGGCAGAATTGCCCTCTTAATAAACTCAAAATGCTTGGCAATTGGTTGCAACATTAACTAACACACCCCCTTGCTTAAGTGTTAGCCAAGTTCTCAACCAGCTGACAGCGTCAGCGACAGGGCGGAAAACTGTCAACGGTCGCCAAGCAACATTGCAACATTGACATCAACAAATAAATAAACAAACGAGAAAGAAATTGGAGCAAGCAATTGAAGTGAGTCGGCAGCTGGCTGAAAATACTTGGAATTTTTTGTGGAGAGGACGACATAAACAACTTTCGCTTTCAGCTAACCCCAAAAGAATGGGTTACAAGGGCAACTTTCCGCAAATGATGCGAGAGGCGGGCTTTAAGCTGCGCCAGTACCGGGACGGACCCTTGGATTGGCGACTAATGGGTAATTTGAAATAGATGGAAAATTTCTAAAATGTCAAGTGAATAATATACTGTTCGTCAGGTTCCTATGAAACGGATCGCATTTTGCGTGAACAGAACTTGGAGGTGGTGGACGATGCACTGCAGCATTTATCCGAGGCACCACTGGGCACAGTGCTGGAGACACGCATTTTAGACGGCGGCATAGCCAAGTACTTTGTAATGTCACAATATGCCATCCAGTATCTACTTTGCTGTCGCACTTACCTAGATGAGAGCGTCGGAGAGCTGCGCGAGGCGCATGAAACGGCCCAGCAGGAGATTGCCAAGCTACGCAAATCGCTCAGCGAGTCCAACAACGAGGTAGTGCAGCTGCACAAGAGGATCACCCAAATCGAGACCATACGCGAGGTAGTTTTTCCCTGTCACCTGTGCACCAAGAATTTTATAAGCAACGAGGCTCTCAATATACACATTGGGCGAAAGCATCGGGTGGGTACACCCACCACCAGCCTGGCGGGCGGTGTTTCCGCCAAGGACAAGGACAACGACATGCAGCTGATTAATGCCATCAAAATGGAGCTGGAGATCAAGCAGCTGAAGGAGCGCCTCAATGCAGCCGAGCGCAACATAAAGGAGCGCAGTGGCAGCTCTAAGCAGCCTGCCAGCCCACGTCGGGATCAGGCAACAGCTACGATGAGCATGCGTAATGTGGGCATACAAAGCAATTTGGCGGACTACAAGGAAAAGGATGAGCTCAGCAGTGAGGCGCTGGACTCTGAGGCTGGTGAGCGCAAGGAGCAGCTCCATGGCCTGGCCGAACGCCTTAGTAACTTTGAGGCTTGGCAGACGCAGCTCAAGCTCAGCAACGAGGAGTTCATCAGGGACATTAACCAAAAGCTCACAGACCTTAGCCTTGCAATGGAGCAGACCAAGCAAGAAGCAGAAGCAAAAGTTACGACCGTAACGCCAGCAACTGCCGAGGAGCGTGTGGCCACGCCTTCCCTGGAGGATTTGGAGCGCATACTCACCGAAAAGGTGGCCGAAATAGGCAAAGTCAGCGCTAATAAGCTGGAGGAGGTGGTGCAGCACCTGGAAATGGGCTACAAAGAGAAACTCGAAGCACTGGAACGCGACCTGAAAAGGCTGAGCCAGCGGAAGGAGCCCGCCATTGTGGTGCAGCCACCAGCAAACACATCCAAAATACCCAAGCCCAAACCATTGCCGAAAGAGGAAGAAAGCATGGAGCGTATTAAACGGCAGGTGGAAACGGAATTTCTCAAAACAAAACGTGACGATGACACCTATTCCATAGAAGAGCCGCCAGTTCAGTCAGCGCAACAGCAGGAGCAGCAGAAGCAGCATGCGGTGACCCATGTGCAAGAGCAGCCCAGTTTCAACAGCTCGGGTAGTCATCCGACCTACACAAAGCCCCCAGCTGAGCCTTTTAGAAACGAGCCCGAGCCCAAGCCAAGCACCAGCCAAACCGAGACGCAGGAAACCACCGACATAAGCGAAAGCCTCGCCGAAGAGGAGAACGTCAGCGATGAAGGCAGTGAGCTTTTGACCTCCGAGCCGGAACGACAGGTGTTCAAGTCGCCAAAAATCAAAGCTACCCATAAGGCAAGGTAGGTAATTGATTCGAGTTAAAAATTGGTCATGATTTCAGTAATTCCGATTGGTTCTAGAGTTCCGCCAAAGCCGCCGAAGCCGTTGACGCGCAAGGATGCGCGCAAGCTGGTTAACCTCAAGCTAAATCCGCATGGCTTCAATATGAAAACAAAGAGTTTATCCAACACATCGCTGAAGCGTGTCAGCGCCGAGCTGGCACAGCATCGGAATAGGCTGAAATTGGTAGAGTATATACCAATAAGTCTCAAGCAACAAATCTGATACGTATCCTTTTACAGGACTATCCTCATTTCTATACCACGCGCAATCGCATACGCATATTTGTGGAAAAGCTTTGCTCCGCCAAGATGCCAGAACGTGCTCAGGTTCTGTTGAAAAACAAGACACCGCTGCAGCCAATGGATGTGCCCAAACGTCGAAGCGGTTTGCTAGCAACCACAGACGATGATGACGAGGAAAATGATGCTAGTGAGCGGACATCAGTATCACAGGAGGAAGAGGAAGTGGATGACGCGTCAACTACTAGCTCCAAGCCACAAAGACAACAGCAACATTTAAATTTCAAGGCTCAATTAGAGCAAATGCTGGCCAAGCCTGTGGCTCAAGTAATTGCCAAGCCCAAGCTCAGCCAAACGCAACAAGCGAAACCTATGCCGCTGCCGCGTAAGCGCGTTATGTTCAATACGCTGGGCAGCGGCAAAAGTATTGATACCAATGAAGAATAAGTCAAATACGAAAAATACATAAATATTATCAATTAAAAAAATAAATGAATTACATTTTAAATAACCTTAAGCTGCCACTTGTGCGGGTCATGCAGTATGGCAACGCTATTTTAGTGGCAACTGGACAACCGCCACATATCGATGTCTGCACTTGCACCTTATCGATACACATACGCGGCGAATTCAGATTGCGATGCGGCGAAGTGTGGTTGCGCGAAAAAATTTCTTGACGTCGCAAATATCTACAATAACTTGCAATAAATGCTTTAAAACGCAGTCAAACAGCACGCAAAACAGTGACAAACGCTGAACGTACATGGCGTAATAGCTAAAGTATTGAAAATCCGCAGCAGCAGTTCAAAGCAGCGCTGCTAATTTATATTACCTGACGACGACTTCACACACACTCCCACACACATATATACACACAAACGCACAAATTGCCCTCCGCCCCCTGCTACCCGCGCACACATCGATGAAATAACATACATAACGTATACCGAAAATACATAAACTTACGCTAAAATAACGGAGCCAGCAGTAGCAATCGTAGCGGACACAGGTAAACAGATAAGAAAACAGACGGAGCCACATACATAGGTACAGGTATCAGCTCCCGCAGCAGCAGCAGCAACAACAACAACAGCAGCAACAGTAGCAGTAGCAGTGTGGAGGAGAGTCGCAGTAAAACATGTCCGACATCATGAATATTGACAGCATTATCTCGCGTCTTCTAGAAGGTAAATTTCTCCCGCCGCCCCAGAAACCCAACTCCACAGACTCATCTAAATGTTTCAATTTGTTTGGTCTATTATTTCCAGTTCGTGGTGCACGTCCAGGCAAAAATGTGCAGTTATCGGAGAGCGAAATACGGAGTTTATGCTTGAAATCGCGTGAAATATTCCTATCACAGCCCATACTATTGGAACTGGAGGCTCCGCTCAAGATATGCGGTGACATACACGGACAATATTACGATCTATTGCGTCTGTTTGAATACGGTGGTTTCCCGCCCGAATCGAATTATCTATTTCTTGGCGATTATGTGGATCGTGGCAAACAATCTCTGGAGACGATATGCCTCTTGTTGGCCTATAAAATCAAATATTCAGAGAATTTTTTTTTGCTGCGCGGCAATCACGAATGCGCCAGCATTAATCGCATCTACGGGTGAGTTTCGATTGCCAAATGTCATTTATTACAACTTGCCGATTTGGTGTGCTTTGAAATAGTCCAAATACATTTTTTTAACGTCGATCTTCAATTATGATGATTCACAATTCTTATTGGACTACACTAATTAAGCTCGTTTATGTGATATATATTACAAAATTCAGTTTCCAAAGTTCCAAACCTAAGCTGAAAGTCTTGACAAGCCGTTAAATTACTAGTACAAATTGAAAAATCTAAAATCCTTACTATATATCCCAGTTAGTCGCTAGATTCAATTTTCCATATGGACTCAAATATACTAGTGACAGCTGTTCTTATGTATTGTCTTAATATGCGCTAATCGGAAATTGCCTTTCGTGAGAAACGCTCCAGCGTTTAAGCACGCACTATTTTCTTAAATGTCATGTCTATTACTCATGTAACTTGAACGTTGACAGGTTCTATGATGAATGCAAGCGACGCTATACCATAAAGCTGTGGAAAACATTTACGGATTGCTTTAACTGCCTGCCCGTGGCGGCAATTGTGGATGAAAAAATATTTTGCTGCCACGGCGGCCTGAGTCCCGATTTGTCCTCAATGGAACAAATCCGACGCATTATGAGGCCAACGGACGTGCCGGATCAGGGCCTGCTTTGCGATCTCTTGTGGTCGGACCCCGACAAGGATACCATGGGCTGGGGCGAAAATGATCGCGGTGTAAGCTTCACGTTTGGAGCAGAGGTAACAAAAATATTCTGATACTAATAAGTGGCTGAATAACCAATCTTCATTTTTTTTTAATAAGGTTGTGGGCAAATTTCTACAGAAGCATGAATTCGACCTAATATGTCGTGCACATCAAGTTGTGGAGGATGGTTACGAGTTCTTTGCCAAGCGCCAGCTGGTTACGCTCTTCTCGGCGCCCAACTATTGCGGTGAATTTGACAATGCGGGTGAGTGATTACTGTGCAGTGAGGGAGAGGGTGCATGTGCACGTGCCAGCCCTGGACTTTAAACAGCAACAACGTGGGTGTTATCTCTGTATGGGAATTGTTAAGGCGAGCAAATACTGTGGTATACTATGTAACTTGTATAGATAATTTAAAGATTAACACAGATTTTTGAGATAACCTTACGGGCAGAGCAAAACAATTGCGAAGTTTCAAGTAAATAGGCTCATAGTTCAGTTACACGTAAAAGGTAGTATAGAGGAAATTCAGTAGATGATATAACAAATAGAAAATTAAAATAACCTACTCGTGATCAGCAATGGGAAATTACTTTGAAATTTGTGTCACGGCATTTTTAACGTATTAAGGAAAGCGTTTCTCTAACCAATTAAGTATAATATATATTTTAGTAGAAACTTTTTATGTCAAGTTTGTTTTGGATTAAACTAGTCTAGTCAGAAAAACTTTATCATTTAGCAGACATAGGAACGAAAATACCTTTTTTATTAGCGATTTTTTATGTTTTCAACTTAATGTCAACATTGGTTTACTTTATCGAAAACAATTTTATAGGCAATCGCATAAAAGTTAAGTTATAAAAATGTACTACATTTCAGCTCTCAAGATTTCTCAGCCAATCTCAGCAATGATAAATTTTAAATTGTTTCATACAAAAAAAAAGATATATTTATTGTATAATTTCCATATGAAAAACATAATGTGTTATCTTCTTCACCCTGTTAGCGTTAATGCTTTTGCTAGACGATAAGGCGAGTAAATTTTCATCATTAAACAATCGTATTCAATACATTTGATCCCAGTCGTCTAAGATAAACAATGTCTTAAGTGAGAATCACATTCTCAAATATCAAACTGATGTCGCGAGACAGCTTTTCAAATGGTGATTCATTTTTGCTTGGAGAATTAATACTAAACAAAACTTTGTTGTTAACGGGATTCAAGTTACACTACGTAAATGTTTACTGTCATATGATATGTTATTTATATAAATTTTGTTTATTTCATAGGTGCCATGATGTCCGTAGATGACACATTGATGTGCTCCTTTCAGATATTGAAACCCGCCGATAAACGACGATTTGTTTATCCAAACTTTGGCAGCTCAGGGCGTCCGCTAACACCGCCTCGCGGCGCAAACAACAAGAATAAGAAAAAATAAACGCTACACAAAAAACAGCAACAATAATTTACATCTACAAAAAACAGCAACAAAAACGGCCACACAAAAAACCAATTTAAAACGCAAAAATGTTTGTTTTTATCGAATATGTGTAATCGAATCGTGAGCAACGTTATAAGGATATAAAAAATTATTTTCATTTGAAAAGTACTACAAACCAACACCCCCATACACACACATACACAAATTGAGACACTTTAGTTCAAACTAATTGTAGTGTTAAACACTGCATAAGCAAGAATATCTCTTAATGTATTAATTTTGTTTTGTTATAGTTTTTCCTTGCGCAATGCGAACACAAAACCGAAACACACACACGCACACACACACAGAAACGTACAGTAGGTATGAAAAGTGCACACACACCAGTTGTATTTATTGCATATTTATCTCGCACAGCATTTTTCGGTTCTTTGCATAGCACAACAACCAAGCATAGGATTCTTTCCTTTATATTGTAATATTTTTTTAATATAGCAAATGGTAAAATGTTATTTTTTATAATTATTTTGAATTTTAATCAACACTTTTGATATGTGTGTGAGTTGAAAACATATGCATTGCAAAAGTATGTACGTATTTTTAGCGCGATATATATATACTTAATATATATATATATATATATATATATATCATTTTTTAAACTATTACTCATCATTAAAATTCTACTACATGTTTACTTAGTTTTAAAGCAAGCAAATTTAGCTCGAAAGTACATAAGTTTGAATTGTTTACACCAAAAATATTAAAATAAACAAAAATGTGTATATTTTTAAATTGTATGCGTTGACGATTAAATATGTAACACACAAAACGTGCATACGAAGAAAATTACAAATGAAATCTACAAAAATAAAAAAAAACTACAATAACTATACTTAAATTAACAATAAAATCAATTGCAAAAGGCAATTTTGTTTAACAAAGCAAAAATACAATGAATTGCTAAACAAGGCAACACAAATTTCTATCCAAAAGCTGAACAGCTCCTTGAGAGCAGCATACTTTTGAGTGGCACTGTGTGCCCTCTGCTGACGTCAGCGACGCGGCAGATAAGGTTACAAGCAGGAACTACGATTTAAAAAAAATTATATATGCATATAGAAATATATATATAACTATATGAATATGTGAATGTATTAAATAAAATTGTAAACATGTGAATCACACAAACAGATACATGCACTGTGTACACACATTTTTGTGCTTGTAATTGTATTTTATGACAACAGTCGGTACATTCTAGTGCTAAAGGCCGCCACATTCAAGTATTATACTTATTATATGCATGCATGATGCCCAGACAAGCGATCAGACCCATTCCGAATAAGGATATGCAGTTCTAAAGATCACTTGCCCTGGCGTAATTAGCCCCAAAAATGGTTTCGTTTGTATAATCCCCCCGCCCGTAACAATTGCGTAAACAAACCGAGTTTTCAAATTGAATGTCCAACTGCAGCCTAAACTCCCTTGTCGAAACCACTCTAGTACTCTGTTTAATGTTGTATTGAATTCTACGTACATACATATATGTAAAACAAAACATAAAACTCAAGAAAAAACAAAAAAAAATATTAAATATTATAGTTCATATTGGCTGTTTTACAAAATGAAAAAAAAAACGAACTAAAAATTGTAATGTAATATCCAAAATTGCGTCAAACAGCTACAAACAAGAAACTCTAAAAAAGAACAAAAATAATAAATAACTTGTAATTAATTTTTGAGATTTTGAAAAGACAACTATGGAAAATTAAAATAAAATTCAAAGCTAAAAACAGCGAAAAAGAAAAAAAAATAAAAACATGAGGCACTTGTAACAAAATAGCACAGTTTTATTAAATGAAAAATGAAATACATATTAGCAATAAAAATGATTATCATCGTGTGGTTTTAACTAGAAAACGGTCGAGCAATGGTAAATAATATGTGGCTTTTAATTAATGACTTTGTTTGAATGATTCATTAACTTAAGTTTTATGATAGAATAGAATTGTTCATCATTATGACAGAACTTGTCTATAATGAACGTCACATCATTTTACTGCATATTGAATTTTTTTAAGTTATTTAATTGTCAACTTTAGATATGTTTTTTTTTATGACTTTATTACTCATTGACTAACTAACGAAGTTACCTCATCTCATTTGAATAAGTTCTTGAGAAGTTGTAGTCTATAATTGGGGCTTATAATATTATATATATATTATATATAATATATAGACTTATGAAAATGTTAATCGTGTAGTAGTAAAGAACTTTATTTAAGGAAATCAAACAATTCTGGCCGTACTAATAACTCGCTCCATACATTTTTTTTATCCATGCAAATATGTATATGTATGTTATATATGTAAATTTTAGAATAGGTCTATATAATTATGTCATATACACTTCAATAATATTTAATTGTTTCCTAAGTCAACATTGCCACATCAGAGGCTCCAACTGGACCTTCCCAGCTGTGGGCTTATCAGTTGAAAAGCAGCCCTTAAACTCTGCCTTAGCAATAGTTATTTATATATATTATACATAATTTGCTTTGTTGCATTTAATATTAAGATTTACTAATTGCGACAACGTGCCGCTATTGTCAATTATATCTCAGGGCACAGCTTCGCTCCAACGGTGCGCAAGGGGCTCCACAGCCTCTGCCGCATGCCTCCTCCTCTCGTAGTCGCAGCTGCAAGAGCCTCTGATGCATGGCGTAGGGCGTCGGACCTGTCGTTGTCATTGCCTTCACGGTCTGCTGCCTGCATTCGTTCGCTTTGTTCTTCTGCCACTTGGCATTGTCAGCCACGCCCAGTTTGTCGTAGGCGTGCTGTAGACGCAGTTCATCCTGTCTCTGGGCACTGAAACATTCGCTGGCATTGAGAAGCCTGAATTGTTGTAATGACTGGAGGCGCTGCAGATCATCATTGCCTTCCGGTGTGGGGTTGGGCAAAGTTGATGGAGTCTCTGGGCTCCTACCTTGAACCTGACCCTGACCTTCAGTTGCTATGCGACTGACGGCGCAGGCGCGTTGCTCATAGAGACGTCGGTTGTCGGTGTGTTCGCAATGGCCGTTGTTGTTGTTGTACCCGCTGCTATTCCGGTGCTCGCCGGTGCCCCAACTTAGCACCTTAACGCGGCTGTCGCGCTGTTTTTGTTGTAGAGCGCCGCACCCGCTAGAGCTGCAGCAGCTGGAGCAGTGGCTCAATATGGTCGTTGCGGAATTGCGTCTGCTGAAATTACGGCTCAACTCGCTTTTGGAGTGACCCAAGCCTAGCTCGGCGTTCCCTTTCAAATTGGGCCACTTCACAAACTGCGTCGGTCGCATGCTCTGCCTGGATGATGACGTCAACGATAAGAGATCAGCGCGTAACGGTTGCTGCTGCTGTTGCTGTTGATGCAGTCTGCTGACGTGGCTCGATGACTTCAAGATGCTGCTGCCCGTGCCCGCAAAGCTACCTCGGCTTTGACCACAATAGCACCTATGCATTTCGGTAGTGATCTTTTGATTTTCCTTTGTTTTGTAACAAGTATTTGGTATTTGACCCCAAAAAACAGACTGTGTGCCCATAGAATGTTGAGCGACGACTGTTGAGCGGAGGGGCAACCGGTTTGCACGCACAGTAAACACCTCAACACCAGCGGCCAGTGTTCCCATGCCCAACCACGTTGCCTGGTCTGGCCGCCGGCATCGTTTGTTTATGTTTGAACAACAGTTGCGACAGTTTCCATAGACACACGCTGAACTGAGGTCCTCGTACTGCTGTTTTTGGCTCGGCTTGGCTCCAACAAGAATTTGCTAGCCAAACGAATGACTTAGGCAACAAACTTAAATTATGGCCTTTTAGCGGTGTCTTGCGTTTCGCGACTAGAACTAATTGGTAAGGCGTTGTTGCCATGCCAACTCGTTGGCATTTGAAGTGTCGAAATATAACGGTATTCAATTGCATTGTAATTACTGTTGAAATTTAATATTATTTTTAATTGGTCTCTAGTTAATCGTTTGAGGAAAATATGCTAGCATGGTGCATTATGCTGACAATACGAAAATATATATTCAACACTCTTTAAGCAGCGTTCCGAAAAATGTTGTAGTATATGGTAATTAATATTTTATGAACCAAGACTTGTTTGGGTAGTCACAAAAAAATAGCCTTTATATCGTTATTAGCATTGGCGGCATATGTAAAAATAAAATGATTCATCTTTATAACGCCAAGGTCCGATCATGAAATTTAATTATTATCCTAAGCATTTGATAATTTATTTTAAAAGTTACTATGACAAATAACATCATAACTTAATACTACTCTACGCATGCTTATAATTATTAATTATAACAAAAAAATAATATAATATATAATATATATTTTTTTTCTATCAGTTTCCTGCCGTTTTGCATTTTTTGCAGATCACCCTGCTGTCCGATTTTTATGACTCCATATATACTCTTATAATTATGATGAAATTAAATATTATAAAAAACGATTTTTGTTTATAAAAATAGTGTTTTTTTTAATAAGTTCTGTTCTCATAATAAAAGGCTTTTGGTTTTCAAGCATCGCTTGAGGTAGTCAATAAATGGCTTACCAGATTTAGAGGTCCGCAACTTTTGTGGTTTTGAAAATCACCCGATTAGTAAATATATAACCGACTTTAGTTTACTACCGGCAATTTTAATAGCACTCCAATTAAATTTTAACTCCGCCTCTGCATACAGGAGTGCGTAAGGGGTTCAATGAACCACTGCGTAAATGGAAAGGGCATTACAGGGTTGCTGGATTGCCGGTCAACGTTCGACACCCGTTTCCACTGCATTTATATGCAACGAGAGCGAGCCGACTCTGCTGCAACATCATGATCATGAATGGGTAATGTTGTATTGGTTGCATCGCCCAAAGCGGTCAGGCGGAAAGCAAAAGTTGCCGCATGTGGCGTTCATACTATGTATGTTCATGTTTATGGGCCAAAGCTCAGCTTGATGCTTATTCAAACTTCATAATATGTTCGGCCGCTGCGCAGGGAGCTTTTGCAGGCCGGCGTCGCTGCGTGCGAAGCTTCGTATATAACTCGGACGTTTGGAGCATCCCGCGTCCATTACGTTGTGATAACTCGCCGTGCAGAGAAGAACCTCTCAACAAAGCCCTCAGCAACTGCAGCCGATTCGCCCATCGTGTGCTTGTGCGTGTGTGTTTGCTTGTGTGTGTGTAAATTAGAGTCTTCAGTTGAGGAAACTCCATATTGGCAATATATTTCGCATATCGCATCCGATTTCGAGCGGCACCATGTCAAAACAGCCGACAGTTATATTGCTGCTGCTAATCGCTGCGGTTGCGCAGGAGACCGCAAAATGTGTAACGGCCGTGCAAGATTTGCGTAAGTAACTTTAGCAGCAACATTAACAATAACAAAAGCAATAACAGTAAGTGCAAATTGCTTGCAGCTTGTGATTTCGTTGGCGGTGCTTTTATTATTTGCGCATTAGGTTTTGGCTTTGCCTTTGGCTTTGGCAGCTTATGGGCCCACCAGCGCTGTTTATGGCCAAAACGTGATCAATATTGTTTATGTGTGGTTCGTTTATTTTGGCTATCGGCCCGAAGGTCGCGCTTATTGTAATGTTCTCTAATGGGCCGCCAGGGTAACAAGTTGGGCATGTTAAATCCATAGGCCATCGATATGCAGCGCGCTGCAATTGCATCGATAGGCGCCAATGGAATTGTTATGCAATCGAAACAGGTTGACAACATAATGGCATATCGTTATCGGCAAACGGGTTTGCAGCCAGTCAGTCAGCCAGTCAGTCAGTGGACCACTTCCGCTTGCTATGACACATATTTTAAGCCTTATTATGCACGTTAGTAGTAATATTAGTTATCATCGCTTTGTTGTCGTAGGTCATGAGTGGCTTTGTTTTCTCGCTACATCTTTGTGATAAATACATAGGCATGCGCGCTTCGACTTGACATTGAGAGATCCATGAATATGCTGGGTCATTTTTTGTTTTGTTGCTTCATTTAAGACTTTGTTGGAAACTTGTTTTGTGGCCAATGAACTCTATCTGAAGTACTACCAGGCATTGGGGTCTCGTTGATTTTATGCTGGCACAATTACACACTTCCAGGCGCGGGACTTCCGCAAAGAGTTTCAATGTCATGATCAAACTCATTAATTTATATTTTGATTTCAGCCGACAACTTCCCCAAATGCAAACGCGATGCAAACTTTGACAAGTGTCTGGTGGATGCTGTCAATCAGGCCATACAATTGCTCAAAAGTGGTTAGTACAGATACCTATTCAAATCTATACCTACTAAATAGATGCTCCTTGACTGCTAAACTAATTCAATTATTGACAGGCAATAAAGAACTCGGCATTCCGCCACTAGAGCCGCTGACCGTGAAGAAACTAGTTATAGACGCCGGCAATGCGCCTATAAATCTTCGTCAAGCCTTGAAAAATGTGAAGGTGCATGATATGATCTCGACTAGCAAGATCCAACGCTATAGGTAATTAACAGATTGCCGACAATTTCGACCCAATAACAAATCTCGTTTCCCTTCCTCTTTCAGAACCGATTTGGATAAGCATTTAATTATCTGTGATAGTAAAACTGACCGCATTGAAATGATAGGCGATTATGAAATGTCTGGTCGCATTTTACTGCTGCCTATTACAGGCCATGGCAAAGCCAATATTACACTTGTCAATACCAAAATCGAGCACCGTCTGATTGGAGAACCCTTTGAAAAGGATGGTGTTAAGTATATGCGACTGAAGGAGTACCGCGTTGTCATGGATCCTAAGCGCGTTTATTTACATTTTGAAAACCTCTTTAATGATAAAACTCTGTCTGAGGGAATGAATCGCTTCCTGAATGAAAACTGGGAGACGGTCTTCAACGAATTGAAGGTTGGCTACTCCAAGAGCTTTGGTCTGGTATTCCGAGAGCTCTCGAATAAAATATTTGAGAAAGTACCCTTTGATAATATATTTTTAAGTTAGTTTGGATAAGTGGTTGGCAAGTATGTCTCTAACTTAAGTATTCTATAAATTAATTAATAAATTCTAGTAAACGGTTTTATGTTGTGAAAAAATCCTCTTTATACTCAAACCGGAAATTATCGATAATTTTGTTTTAGTATGGTTAGCAACAACTATTCCCCTTAGGCAAGGTTTTTGTCGATTTTCCTAAGAATTTTAAATTTAAATTGGAAGCCTTAATTCTCTTACAACACTTTTGGGTTTAGATATATGGATTTTTTTAAATTAAAAATATATTTGCGCCGCTTTTTGAATCGATATATTCGTCCTATCGGTGAATTACGATGAATCGGACGCTTTACCACACCTAATCTTGCAGTTTTGGCACTTTCTATGCGCAAAAATATTCCTATTTGTTTAAACAATTAAGCTAATATTTCTGAAGAGTGCACAAACCAACGTTGCACCTGCCTGCATGGCAGAGAAGATGACTAGCATGGATGGCACAGTGCCGGAGGCCAAGTATCACAAACTGGCGAGTGAATACTCAAAGGTAACAAAAACAGCAACAGTTTACGCCCCATTCGCAAGCGCATTAATCTAATTTAATCCACATCCACCCACGCACATAGCTGCGCGCCCAAGCGCAAGTGTTGAAGAAGGCTGTGCTAGATGAGCAAGCGAAGGAAGCGAGCCTGCGCGAACAACTGCAACAGAGCGCAACATCGCTGAGGCGAACAGAGCAGGAGGTGGACTCGCTTGGTTTTCGTAACAAACAGCTGGAATCGCGGGTCTCGCAGCTGCAGCAGGAACTAGCCGTGCACGACCAGGCGCATAAGAAAAAGGAGCCTATCAGGCGCGCGCTTTTGGGCGGCAGCAAACCGGAGCCACAGAGTGAAGCCGCAGACTTAAACGCAGCGCAAGAAGCGCTTATATTCGAGGAGCTGCAGAAAAAAATAATGGAAAACGCACAGCTAACATCATTGGTAATTTTGTCAAAGCACATGTTTACACCCACGCAAACGCCCTTACGTACAATAATTTTATAACAATTGCCACCCGCAGCTCGATGATAGGCAACGCGACTTGTTGCTGCACACAGAGCGCATTTCAGAACTGGAACAGAAGCTGGAGAAACGAATTGCTGACCAGAACGAATTGGAGAAACGGCTTCGCAAAGAAGTGGAAACGCTTCAGCACAGAAATTGTGAACTCGAAACAAAGCTGGTAGATGCTGCTAGCATGGTAAGGTCTAAAGACAAAAGCTCCTTGAAATAGTTAGAGATTTATTCTTGTGGTTACAGCTTGGCAGTGAAGATGCTTTGAGCGCCACTGGCAGCGATAGCACCCCGCTGCACAATCCGCAGCAGCAGCACCAGCTTAACACCAACTTGGCCTTAACGCTCACTGCCGAAGAACGCATTGCACTACTGGAAAAGGAGGCGGCGCACTGGCGGGCCCAGTACGAGGTGACGAAACTTCATCAGAGCATAAACTCGAACTCGAACGTGGATCTCAGCAAAACAGTCGATGCCAGCAGTATTTGTAGCTGTAGCACAGCTGCAGCGGGGATCACCGTGAAGCCATGCTGCCTGGAAAATAAGAGCGGACGTGTGCGCGATTCGCTGCAGGAACCGCCAGAGCCGCCTACCAAGGAGCAACTTATATACAGCGTGTTTAGCAAAAGGTACGAAGATTTATTGCGACTGAAGGCTCTGGCCGAATCGCGTCTGCGCTCATTTGAACAGGAGGCATTGCATTTGCAAATCTGTCTGGAAAATGCAACGCAAGAACTGAAAGCCAAGGACGAGCAGTTGTCCAGCCTAGGCGGTGCACTGCAAATGCTCGAGGAGGAACTGGTAAGAAACACACATACTGCCTGTGATTGGCACTAAATCAAAATTCTTGCAGACCACGACTCGCATCAACTATGAGGAGCAAATCAGCGTCCTAACGGAGCAAGTGATAAGCTTAAGCGAACAACTGGCTGCTTGCAAATGAATGTCTGCCTGTCGCACTGCTTTATATTGTATATTATTTAAAAGTGACCCGGCCACTGTCCAACTTAGCAACTGGCTACGTTATAGGAGCTGCCCTGTTGCCGGCTTATTGGTTATTGGATTAACGTGTTTTACGGGCTGTAAGACTATCAAGGGGAACGATAACTAGTGCTTAAAACTTGTACATGACCGATAAATCGGAAACCCATTGACCAACCAGCTGTTTAAGGGGCAGCATACCCTTTTTATAGATTCCTGATCGGTGCAGTGTGTATATACATACCTGAACATATAAATTTATATCTGTATGTTTAAATATTTCGCTAAAGTTTAACAAGCAACGTATAACATAATTATTAATTACAATTTAATTGAGAACGACGAGCCACAGGAGCAGCCCTGTTCGGCCAGCGGATTGGCAACCATGCGAAACCCGGCTCGTATAAGCTCGCTTTGATAGTCTACAGTAGCACCAGTGCAGTAGTCCAGCGAAACTGTATCAATCACGACTTTTGCCTTCTCCTCGCCAAACTGTAGGTCATCCTCATTCAGCTTGTTGTCCAAATCAAATTTGTATTGAAATCCAGAACATCCGCCGCCCTCAACAGTAACGCGCAAAAAAGAACCATCATTGCATATCTCACGCAAACGGTTTAAGCAACTTTCGCTCAACTGCAGATGCTGTTGCGTATTTGTTGTGGTGGCTGCGGCGGCATCTTTGATGGCTGGACGCAATGTTGTCGCCGAACAGAACAAATTTCTGTAAAATATAATAATTGTGGACTGCTCCTAAGATCATTTTTGCTTATAATTACCTTTGCAGCGCAGGTCTTGCAAGCTGACGCAACATGAAAGCCATTACGGTAATGCGATAAGCCCAAATAGTAAATTATATTTGGAAGTGTACCTCTCGTAATCAAAACAAAAGTGACGACAGCTGTTCTTTTGACGCATGCGATATTTTTGATGCATGCCATAATCGATAAATTTAGCACAGCAATAATACATCGATACACGCTCCAATACATAACTGTGTGTGCGCTTGCGCTTCTTTTGTTGGCTTGCCGAGGAATTTTGAACGTTGGCTTTTGATTTTGTAGTCAAATAGTGTTTTTGTTAAGTGTTAGTAAATGTTTTCAGTGTTTAGTAAAAGTTTTAACTGACAATGGCGCTAAAGATGACAGTAAATGGTAAAGTTGATGCGAATAGCAAGCAACGCAACCGATTTCTTGCCGATCCCGAGCGTGTTAAAAAAGATCTCGAAAGCGAGCGTCGCATAACTCGTTTACAACAGGTAAGACGCAGTTACGTTTTAAAGGCTTACATTATAAAATTTCGATATTAAACTTGTTTAGGTGCGTGAGAAATCCAACAGCTTGGCTCGCCACATACGACAAGAGGTGGCTGCAGAGCAAGCGCGTCAGGTTCAAAACCTGGAGCAAATAAAACAGAAGGAGTTAGATACGTGGCGTGAGCATGTTATGGCCAAAAAATACCAGGACTACCGTACCTCAATGTTTCAGGTGGGCGCCGCCCATCGTGCCGCCCAAGCTGAAACCGAAAATACAGAGCAACAAAAGCAGCTGCGTGCGGACAAAATGAAAAAGTGTCGTCGCCTCGCTGCAAAGCGTGCTGTTAAGCACACGCCCGCAAATGTGCTGCGTTCCACGGGGGGTAGGGAACTCAATGTGGAGGGACGCGCCACAGCAGGCACACAGACGCCAGTACAAACAGAAGAGAACGGGCATGTGGGTAAAGAGAATAGATTGTGCAATAAAGCAGCCTGTAAAGTTTCGGACAGGCAAAGTTCTTGTAAGCGGAAACGCAACTCATGTTGTCAGAGTAATGGCCAAAACGACAACAACGATGAGGTGGAAACTATCTCTGACAGCAGCACTGATGAGCACGAAGCGCAGCCAACTGCAAGCGAGGCCAGTGGCAGAAGGCTGCAAAAGACGCCGCCAGTTATTTTAGATGTCGACATTGAAAGCGAAGATTCGCTTGAGATCTGCGCACGCGATGGCATCGAGATAAATGATTTGTATATGCAAACGAATCGTAAATTTAGTCGCGTGGTGCGTCCCACTCCCACAAGTGCCTCTGAGCTACAGAAGCGCTCAGCCGCTGCAGCGTCGGATGCTATTCCTTCTCGGCCACGTTTCACCCAAATCACAGACTTGGTACGACGCACCACACTAGACACAGAAATGTCTTTGGAAAGCACACAAAGACAGCCGCATGAGCTGGAAATTCATATGCCCCGCAGTCCCACGAGGTCCTTGCCTCGTTCACCCAGCAAAACAACGATGTCAGCCGCAGCCCAAGCGGGTTCCTCCAATGTGTCACCTACTAGAACAGTAACAGAGCACCCAATTCCATCTAATCGTGCAGCAACAATACTCCCAGCCGACAACCGCCGCCAGTCTACGCAGCTACAAAAGCGATCCTCATTGAGAAACAACAACAAAGAGTCCGCTCGTTCTAAGGTCATAGATGCTGGCCTCAGAGGTAATACGGCATTAGCGCAACCGAAAGCTACAGTGGAAGTACCTACTGCATCCAGCACCGTGCAGCCAAGAACGGCAAAGCCCATGGCAGAGCCGGCTATACCACAGCCCCGCATGCATCACCCAATGCAACAGCCGCCTGTACAGCAGTTGCCCCACATGCAGCAGATGCCTATGCAACAGGCGCAGATGAATCCACTGCCTCCTTACATACACCCGCATGCTATGTATGCACCGCAGATATTGCCACCTTATGCCATTCTACCTTATCCTATGCAGCCATATCCCATGCAAACCGTTTGCCAATATGCACCACAGCCCGCGCCTTCACAGCAACCGCCCGTGACCTCTTCGACCACCAGTACATCTGCAACTCCAGTAAGCACCACTGCCAGCCATTCCACAGTCTCTACCACGACATATGTGTTGCGTCAGGCACAGAGCGGTGACACGAATACAACTGGACACGTTCAGTTCTATGACCACAATAACAAATATCGTCGCAACTATAAGGCACCCGCGCAGGCCGTACAGATTAATCCACAGGACAGCACACGACTGAATGCCATGGAGAATGCACGCATCGAGAATCAGT